TGTTGTTTAGTGATGAGATTGACAGTGAGCCAAGCAGCATGCATGCATACGCTCAGACGAGTCTGCGGGTGAGACGTGCTCCCTCCCTTATTGTGTGTACTTTTCAAACCACGAGAATAGATGGATAGAAGGGAGAGAAGGAGACATGCGTGAGATTGATTCATTTGATTGATGAGCGCTGTGAGGAGCTATTGTATGTAAAGTAAAGCTAACTGAGTAGTCGCGTACCCAAGACACACAGAACATGTTTTTTTTTTTGGTGGGCGAAAAAAACTCGACGTTTCTTCGTCGTGCGGAGGGAGATTTCCCAAATTAATATTTCCTACGCTTCCGGGGGTTGGAACAACATGCACGAACGCCCCACATTTTCACCATCCGTCTGTCTCCTCGGGGGGAATATTGGAAGCCAGAACGTACTTCAGATTGGAACCATTCGAACGGGAGAGAGACACCCCGTCACCCCGTCGTCTCCCAACCTTCCACCGAGCAGTCAGTGACACACACCATCGTCGGTGCCATCCCCTAACACACACGGCGACTTACAACAACGAATCCCGCTCATTCGATTATTGGCGAGGCACGACGGAGCAACTTCTTGCCGGGTGCGACCGACGTACGGCATTTCCTCCACGTATTACGCATCTGTGTGCCTTTCTGGTCATAAGATGTACACACATTTGTACTGCGAAAACGGCGGTAGATCCCCCCCTCTTCTAGTAGGCAGGCAGGTACAGGTAGGCAGCGCCAGAAAAAAAAACTCCAGCAGCAAAAAACAAAAACAAAAATGCTCCACACAAAACCCAAAACACCAGCAAATCACCATCCTACAACGCCAAATCATTTTCCAGGTGTTCTTCCTTCGAGGGCTGCGTCATAGAAGGCGAGGGTGGAGAACTTGGGCGCGGCGGCACCACCACCTCGCCATCCTTCACCACGTCCACCACCAGCAGTCTTGCCGCCGCGAAACTCGACAACAACGCCACCGCTGAAGACGAGGCTCCGAAACCTAGCGGCGGCGCACCGGGGCAATTTTTCGGGTCGGGGTACTACGGCGGTAGCAAGAGCAAGCAGCAGCAGCAGCAGCGGCAGGGGGCGCGGAAGGACCAGCACCAAGCAGCGGCGGCAGCGGGGGCGGCACCACCCAGGTTAGCAGCCCAGGGCCACCGGCACGTCCACGAGAAGGCTTCACGGGCGACGGACTCGGTGCGCGAGGCTTGGAGGGTTCGTGACGGTGTGGGCAACAGGGAAGGCGGACAGCAGAGGCAAGGGCGAGCTCCCGCGTGGCAGCAGCAGCAACAACGACAAGGCGACTCGGTGGGTTGTGTAGAATAGGTGTTGTTCATGTCTGTGTGTTTTGTTGTTTGGTGTGTGTTTTTATTCATGGTCGTTCATTCGATATTCCTTCGTTTTTTTTGTGGAGATGGAAGACTCTTCGTTTGATGTCTTGTTGGCATGACACATGTTGTTCAGCCCCGTTCGCTGGCGGAGGGGCCTACGCCACTAGCGCCGCGCGTTGTACATGACCACCACGGACGTCAATTTATTTCGAGAGGGCTCAGGCGAAAACTTGTTGACTGCCGAGGAAAAAGCGAGAGGCCCGCGACTGGCAGCAGTCTGACGCTTTCGTCGCTGCTGGTGGCGACCTTTTCTTTTGTGAGAATATGATGATGATCCGCTTTGGGCCTCACGACGAGGGCGCTACCAAAAAGCAGCCCAAGACCTCTAGTGCGCTCTTCGCGTGTCACCCTCGTACACGTACGTGCGTGAAATGCTTCGGACTGCTAGGCAGACACCGGTAGTGTACATACCCCTCTGCTGTGTCGAATCGAAATACTAAATTTCGACAGAGTCATCTTTTCCATCTCCAACGGCCAAATGTCGGCCGCGCGTCGTAGTGTCTCTTCGCGCTAATCCTGCGAGAGGATTTTTTTTGGCAGGCGTGCTGGCTGTCGGCCTTCCTACATATAAGTAAGTGCACGGCTTTCGCGACGCCTCCCCACCTGGCCGCTCCTCAGTTGCTTCTCACTCGAGTAGAAGCGAGATGGAATTCGTAAGCGACGAAGGAAGAAAGTGCCTCGATGCACGGACATCTAACAGCACCCGCGGACGGCGCGCACACAAAGCATATGTACGCATACATAAAACGAAAGGGTTCTGCTGTAATTTTGAAGACTGGAAAACTCGCCGTTAGGTTCCTACGCTAGATATTATAGTACTTATCATCTAATTCCATTTTTTTGTTTTGATTCGTGTGCGGGTAAGGAAAGGCTTGCTTTTTTCACAAGCGGCAGCTGGAGTCGAGAAGTATTTGTTGCCCCTTTTGTGCGGCCCATGTCCTTTGGCTGGCGTTCAGACGCGAGAGAAGTGCTTTGTTGTCGACTCTCCTCTCCCCTCTCTCGCCCCTGCCCGCCTGCGTGCCGGACGGGGTCGGCGCATGCACTTTTCGAGGAGGTCCGAATAAAGGAAATTGTTGTTTTTTCCTCAATTGCTTGTTCCCGGCCGGGCGAGTGCGCGCGCGGTTGGGTAGATCTACGTGTGAAGTAGTAGCCAACGGCTGCTCTGTGACGCCCGACGTCGTCAGAAGGGGTGCCGCCGCCCCTGCCAAGCACCCCGAGGTGTTGGCTAGCGTCTGAGAGAAGAGGGCAAACGATGCAACACGAATTCTTAGCAAACCCGGGAGCGGCGCATGTTCCCGGTTTTATTCTGGAGTCGCCCATACTCGGTTCCGTTCCTTGGTGCATGTGTTCGTTCCATTTCCTCTGGCGCCAGTCGACACACATAAACACACACACATACGTGTTTGTTTCTGTCTTCAATCCGGAGAAAACTTAGCCTCCCCAATGCTCCCCTCACGAGGTCGCAGTTAATGGCATTTAGAAGTGTGAGTGTATTGTGTTTTTCAACCGAACTGAGATCAACGCCTTTCATTGGTCAGCCGGTTAGCGCGGTCGATGCTACTATTAAATACGCACACACACACGTCCTCGGTAGTTTGTAGAAGATGTGAATCACTTCCCTTGTTGGCGGTGTTTTTTTGCTGCGTGGGTTCTGTCTGTCTCGCCCCCGTAGTTCTCGCCCTCTACTGTATTTATCTGGTTTGTTTCTCTTCCGTGTCCGCGGGCAGTGCTCAGCGTAAGCTTAGTTTTTGATCCTAAACTCAGTCCGCTGCTGCCTGCTATTCGGGGCACATCAAAGAGAGAAAGGGAAGGAGACCTGGTGGCTGTTTGCGGTTGAAACTCTGACGTGTCCTGTACTGCGCACCTCGCACTCGACGTTTCGTTCGGACGTTCGGCATACATCCACATGTGATACATACGTCCCATGTTTTTTTTTGTACAGTGCACGCACGCCCTCAGGAAGAATCATTTTAGTTTTTGAACGTGCGCCATTTGTAATTATCCATGCATACGTGTTTCCCAGTCTTGGAAAAAAAATACAAGGAAGACGAATCTAACGTTCTGGTCGTTCGAGGCACTTGCGGAATTTCGTCATGGGCTCATTCCGAGATGGACTAACAGGCCTGCAATACACGGAGTGCCATGTACACGAGTGACATACTCCGTGACGTCCTGCCCTGTTTCTCTCAACTGCTGTGTTTCTCTCTCGCGCCCCTTTTTTTGGTGTGTCATGGTTGAGGAAAATACACGGCAGAGATTTCCAACCATCTCGTGGCGTTCTAGCGTTCTCCCATGTTCTCTCATCAACCACTGTGCCAAGTAACCTACGCTTACCGGTGCTACATGTAGCAACACATTCGCCGCATTTTTCGACAAGGCACCACATGGGCGCAAGCGTCCTTCCTTCTTCCGCCGTAGGATACACTTGCACTCGGCTACTCGGGGTGTCACACAACGCGAGGCGCACGGTGATTTTGTCGTTTTTCTCTACCCGCGGAGTTGCTTGCCTCAAAGGTGTCGTCGAAATTTGCGTTTTTGGTCCCCCTCCCTCTCCTGGACCGGTCGGCTCAAAAGGTTTGTACACGGCGATTGTGCGTCGTCGAACAAATCTCACACCTGTGTTCAGTAGTGTGTTCACAATATAACGTGCGCACCATTTGTTGCATGTGGTCGCGATGTTTTCGTCGCTGACGGGGCCTGAGATTGTCCTGTTTTTTGTTGTGGCAAAATGCCCGCTGTCATCGCCTTGGCAAGCTATGCAATGATTGGCGGCACTTTCTCGGGGAGAGGGACTTGGTAGTTGAGCGCTTCGTTCCATGTGCCTCTCCGCCCCCCGCCAGTTCTGGGCGCGAGGGTACACGTTAAGGTACTTAAGAGACGACAGTAGTAGCACCCCTTGCCTGGCTGGCTGACGTGATGGACGCTTTGAAGTGTTCTAAATTGGAAGAACGGGACCAATAGTAATAAGAAAAAAGAAAATAAGATGACGCGCTTTCCGCCTCGCAGTCGTCGTCTTTTTTTTTTTTTTTTTTGCAGTCGTCGTCATTGTTCTGTCCTCGCTCAATATCCAGACTCATTAAACGTTTCAATCAGCTGTGTACGCACATTTTTTTCTTCTCTTCGTGCATGTACATAAAGTCTGAATGAACAGCTTTGTGGCGTTTTGTGGAGCCAGCAGCAGCCGTCGGTAAGAGCGAGCACAAGGGCTGATCGACACAGCGCGGTGTCCCTTTTGTCTTTTTCGTGACAAAGTTTTGTTCATGTGTGAGAGCACCGCAACCTGAGGTCGGTACAAAATGCCATTTTTGGCCCCCCATGAAACGTGACCAATCACGACTCTTGTTCCTGAACACTACTTGTATGTACAGGGACCAATATGTCGTGCACACAGCAGTCAACGAAAACTCTGACAGACCCACTTTCTGACAGGCGAACTGATGGTCTTGCATCCCGCGCATTTGTTCTTTGTTTTTTCAGGAGGCCGACCTAGGCGGCTCCAGCCCGGGCGAGGGTGGCGTTTCCCTCCGCAAGGACGAAGCTCCCCCGGGCTTCGAACCTCTGGACACAACTACCAGCGACAGCGGCGGCGGCGGCGGCGGCATCATGTCTTCCGGGCGACATCACCGACCGGCGGCCGGCGATGGCGGCGGCGGCGGCGGCGACGCCGAGTCTGACGTCCAGGTTAACTTCCCCTCGCACTTCGACGACGGCCGCAAGAACGGCTCCGGGTCGGAGAACGGCAGCAGCAGCAGCAGCACCTGCAAGGCCCGCGGCGACAGCCTGGGCACCAAGTCGGGCTCGACCTCCCTGCTGTCGATGATGTCGGGGTCCCCTCGGTCCATCGGCACCGCGCCCGACTCCGCGGCGGGAGGCTCGCCGCGCACCCCGCTCTCCGACAACTCATCCGCGCACGGCGGCGGCGGCGGCGGCGGCGGCGCGCAGCAGGACGGCGGCGGCCTGCCGCCGGCGGTGTCCGTGGGCAACGCTGGGGCCGGTGGCGACGGGGAGTACGACGACATGGACCTGCCGTCCGCGCACCCCACGCCACTGTCGGCGTTCGGCGGCGGCGACGGAGAGCTTCCGCCGGACCACCCGACGCCGAAGAGCTCGCTGGGCTCTTCCACGGGCCGCGGTCGCAGCCTGAGCCGCGCCGGCGGCGACGGCGACGACAAGAGCGCCGACGGTAGAAGCAAGTCGATAGAGGCCGGTTCCGGTTCGTTCATGCAGCGGCTCAAGTACTGGAGCGGGATGACTCATCAGGACAGCTCGACGTCGATGGCGTCGGCGCCGTCTAAACACGGCCGCGGCCACCGTGGCGGCAGCACCGGTGCCGGCGGCAGCCGCGTTACTGTCGAGGCCGTGCAAGGTTCAGCGGCGACGGCGACGGCGACAGCGGCGGCGGCGGCAACAAGCGGTGCGGGTCGCGCTGCCGGCACCGCAGCAGCGGCGAAGGAGGCCACGGCGGCGGCGGCGACGGCGGCATCAACGCTCGCCGCGCGAACGGCCTCCTCAGCGCCTCAAGGCGGCGTGTCGCCCAGGAAACTCCCCGCATCGTTCACCCGCTCCTCGGGAAGGATAGCCGACCCTCGCGGCAGCGGAGGGGTACGGCCAAGCGAAGCGGCACAGCCGTCGACCGCAAACAGCGGAAGCAGCGGCGGCGGCGGCGGCGACGACGACGACGACGACTCGAGCAGCACCAGAAGTCGTCCGGTCGCGGCCGCTCCGCTCTCCGAGTCGCCGCCGCCGTACTCCGAGACGGCGAGGTCGGAGGCGAGCGGCATCTCGCCGTGCGAGCTCCGCGGCGTCCCCGTGATGCCCTTCGACTCCGTCACGTCCGACGCGACGAGCGCCTACAACGCCGGGCCGCCGCCGGCCTACCGGTCGCACGGCGGCGGCCGCGTTAGCACTGTGGCGGCGGTCTCGTCGACGAGACAGGGGCCGTCTCCGCCGTACTCCGCCGCCGCCCGAAAGCGGCAGGAGCAGGAGGAGGCGACGAGATTGGCGGCGGCGGCGGCGGCGGCGCCCTCTCCTGCCGGTCGGCCAGGCGACGACGCCTCAGCGGAGAAGGAGGAGGGAGCCCCGGCAAAGTCTCGAAAATTCAGCGACTTTGGTGCGTCTCACCGCGCAGAGCTCGCTGCGATGCGCCGTGCGAGGGGAACTTCCTCCCCCGGCGACGAAGAGGTGAAGGACGAGGAGAAGGAGGTGTCGGACGAGGAGGAGGAGGAGGAAGAGAAGAGAGAGATGGGCTGGGGCGCAACGTCGGACAAGGAGGAGGAGAAGGAGGAGGAGGAGAAGCAGGACTTTGCCGCCGCGTTTTCGCCGGTGACAACGGCAACGGCGGCGGCGGCGGCTACTATTAAGACCGCCTCCCCCCGACCCCCTCCCCGCTATCTCGCGACCTCCATCAAGCCCTCCAAACAGACGACGACGACGACGAGCGCGAACGGTGGCAGCGACGATGGCGGCCTCGACGTGCCCCCCGAGAAGCCTAAGCCTCTTCGATACGGCAGCAGCAGCAGCAGCAGCCCCCGGCATCAGGCCTCCCCGTCCTCGCCTTCGCAGGCGGCGCTGCCGCCGCCGCCGCCCCGCTACATGGCCATCGTGGAGGCCGCCAACGTGAAGTCCGCGCTCGACAACTCTTCCACCTCGGAGCACACCGACACGTCGCCTTCGGAAGACGACGGGGGCATGATGGCCGAGATCCTCACGGACAGGCTCATGGAGGTGTGCAGCAAGATGGAGCAGAGTGCGGCCTCTCCCGAGGCCGACCTGAGCGACGGTGCGGCGGAAGCGATGGCGCTTGGCGGCGGCGGCGTGCACAAGCGCCGACCTTCGCGGCGCCGCCAGCTGTCCAACATGTCGAACCGGACGTTGCACAGTGTCGCCGGCGGGGAGGGGGAGGAGGAAGACGCCGACAGTGACGAGGGAAGCGTGATGGACGCCGGTGCCGCGGCTCGCAAGCTTCGCAGGGAACGGTGAGAAAAAGCCTGGTGTTTTGTCCCCCCCGATTGCGAAGACTTGAGCGCACCTCGTTCGACTGCTGCGGTAGTTGATCTGGAGCGGGTAGTATTTTCTTGTGATTCTATGAATATTCTGAAAGAAAGACAAGGATTTACCAGCTGCTAGAATGTTTTCTTCTTTTTGATGGACGCTCGTTTTTTTCTCTCTGCCGCGGGTTTTTTTCCGTGTATCTTTCGCTGATGTGCGTAGATCACAACAGTTACTTTCGGCAGCAAGTATCAAAGCATCTAATTTTTATCTCGTGGAAGCAGGCCTGTCTGTGTGGACGGTTTGCATGCGAATGCGGGTGGAATCTCGGGGCGATCTCTCTTTTCTTTCTTCTTCGTCATAGTGTGCTTGGGTTTTGGATGCCTTGCCTGACATTGCTTTTCACGCATTGACCTGAATTAATCACGTTTTTGTCCTAATTTTATTTGTCGATTGCCCCCTCTGGCGCGTCTCGATTCTGCGACCCCCCCCCCCCCCCCCCCCCCAGGCTCCGAAAACGTGCGAAACAGTCGAGGAAGATGTCGTCGGTTCTTGCGGTGCCGAAGGACGATAGGGGAGAGGTGATCCACGTTCACACGGCCGCGTACAACGGAAAGCAGGACGTCCTCAAGGCATACATTTCCCAGGGAGGCGACCTGGAGGCAAGTAGCGTTGTTGGTTGTCATCCCATTTTTGTTGCGTTGTTTCTTGTGCCGATTTTTTATTTCTACGCCGTTCGGTATATATGTGTCTTTGGACTTTTGACACACCAGCGAGGTCATACGTGATCACGACCCCCCGCACAGGATTAATCTGTCAGTAATAACCTAGTTGATTCATTGTTTTCCAGAGCCCCGGTGGTCTAGTTGGTATCCTCGGAACCTTCTAGAGGTCAGGTCAGGGGTTCGAATCCCGGCGTAAGCGAGCTTTTCTTGCAAAGTGAGTTTTTCTCTCGCTTCCGCTCCTGGCCTAGTGGATAGCGCTAGTTCGTGTGTACACGGAGGGAAGAGAGTGCTGAACTCTTCTCGCATTAAAAATCGAAGGCAAAGTACCGCAGGAGGGGAGGGTAGAGAGGTAAGAGAGGGGCTCTTCTGTGTGACCACGGGTTGCAGTAAACGGCACTACAGTGTGGTGAGCGCTGATTTGAAGTGAAGACAAAAAAAAAAAAAAGAGTGTGACGAGCACAATAGGGCGTTATGTTCGACATTGGTCGACCTCGCCTGGTTTCGGAAGAAACACAACCGCTGTGTTGTTTCCGGGTGAGCACATCCGGCGGCGCGGATTCCTCTGAATGCACACGTGGTCAGTTTGCGTCGGCACACCCTTGAAATACAGCTCTGTGGGCTCTTCCGCCCCCCTCTAGAATGAGCTCTCAATCCCTCCGCTCTCCGCGCTCTTCCCCGTGCAGATTCGCGACCAGTTCCAGGCGACTGCCCTCATGCTGTGCGCCGAGAGAGGGCACACGCAGATGGTGGACGACCTGCTGTCTGCGGGTGCTGAGGTGTCCTGCGTGGACGAGAACGCCAACAGCGCCCTTCACCTCGCGTGTTTCTACGGCAACACGGAAGCGGTGGAGCTGCTGCTAGCGGTGGACGCCGACATTGGGGTAAGCCGTCGTCCTTTTTTTTTTTTTATTGTGATCTTTGTGGCGCACTTGGACTGGGTGGTAAGTCTTGTTTTTGGTTGTTGTCTTCGCATGTTCCCCAAGTACCCCAAGGGTACATTGCATGTTGTGTGCTCACAACCATTTTTATGAAATAGCTACAGCAGTCATCTACGTCTGATACCACACACACACACAAAAAAAGGTTTGAGTGACTGAGAGCCGAAATAAAAAAAAATGGAGTGCAGTGACAATATTGATGAGGTTGCGAGTTGAAAGTTGCTGGTATGAACGAAGCGCTAACGTGCCTTCGCTGCAGCCTGTGGCGACGACCTTGGCAACATTTTACCGTGCGCGCGTTTTTTATTGTTTTTTTTTCAATTCTGTTCGATGCAATCGGTTCTCCTCGACACACCACACATCTACGTGTACGGCATAGCCTCCCTCACGTGTCCCTTTGAAGCATTTTGTGTTTTAACTGAGACTGAGGTTTTTCATTTGTCATCCGGTTGTGCAGTAGCGCGGTCGATGCACTAACAAACTAACAAAAACATGCGCACGTGTGCATGTGTGTGTATGACTTGACAGGCGGTGGACTCGGAAGGGAGAACACCGCTCGACCTCGCCACGGACCCCGCGATCCGACGCATCCTGCGGATCGAGCAGATGGTTCGCTTCTCCGGAGAGAACTTCGACCTCCTCGGCGCCGTGGAGGTCAACGACACCATGGTGAGCGAGATACTTGAGTACCACGCCGTGCATGCATGCATGTTACTTTGTCCTCTTTTTCTCTATCAAGGTCAACGACGCCATGGTGTCTGTGAGATAGAGAGAGCGAGAGACCACGTACATGTTCCTAGTTTTTTTGTTTTTTTTAATTGAGCTACAACACGTCCACCGTTTTGTGTTGTGATGCAATGAGCGCTTTGAAGACCTCGGTGGCTGTCTCTTCCTCTGTCAACGCCAAAGCCGATCAATCATTCGAGAGGAACTTCTGTCTGTCGTTGACTTGGACTCCACCGCACCGCGCACCCCCACGGTATTCACCATCCTCCCCCCTCCCCCCTAACCCCCCAAAAAAAAACAAACAAACGAACAATTAATTGTTTTTCAGGCTGTGGCAAACTTCATCGCCATGGGGCAGGAAGCCTGCGGCTACCCACACAACCCCAACGCCGTCGCCGTCGCCTCTAAGCGGCTACGGCTCAACCGGACGGGGCGGGGGGGCATGTCGGCGGTCCACCTCGCCGCCTTCCACGGGTACGCCGACTCCCTCCGACTCCTCCTCGAGGCCGGGTCGGACCCGAACGCCGTCAGCGACGACGGAGAAACCCCGCTCCACACGGCGTGCAATGGCGGGAGCATTCTGTGCGCCACGCTCCTCCTCGAGCACGGTGAGTTTTTTTTTTTTTTTTTCGGGAGCTCTGTGCGCTGTGCTGCTGCTGTGGCACATGTTTTTTTTTGCCGCTTGTCCTCCTTCCGGCTATGGGAGGGGTAGGTGAAGAAACGACGCAGCCCCACGCCCGCCCACTGCGATGATGTGACAACTCCTGCGGGTGTTTGTGTGTCAGGGAGGGTTTACGTCCGTTCGCTGCCCCCCTGTCTTTTCTAAGTCGAATGCTCTTATGTTTGTTGTTTCGCTTGTTGTGTGTGTGTGTGTTTTTATTTTTTATTTTTTTCCATCAGGAGCGAATCCGCTAGCCACCGATGCCAACGGGCTCGTGCCATGCGAGAAGCACATTGCGGGAGGTCGGCAGGAGATGAAACACCTCCTCGAGGCGAAAGCCTTCCAAGGTGTGTGTTTAAAAGGATGGCGGCTTTGTGTGTGTGTACAAGGATGGCGGCTTTGTGTGTGTGTACAAGGATGGCGGCTTTGTGTGTGTTTACAAGGATGGTGGCTTTGTGTGTGTTTACAAGGATGGCGGCTCTGGTGGTCTCAACATGTGCTTTTCTTCTGCAATAGTATTTCGGCTTGATAGTCGATAATGGAGTAGCGGTATTGTAGATATCGAGCCTCGAATCACGATACAGCTTCAGTTTCGGAAAAAGAATGAAAGCATGACCTCTTACACCCATATGCCGCCTCGACCCCCTCCTCGCCCTTTTTTTTTTTTCTCGACTGTGCGGAACGGGAAAACCGTAAAACACGAACGCGGGAAAAATCCACACAGCCACCCCCGCGAACCTCCTCGCTCTGCGGGCCGACCTGGCGGAGGTAGCGCTCCAGATCGACGCCGAAGAGGACCTGTTCGTGAGGAAGGGCGTGGCCATCAAGTACCTTCGCAAGGCACTCAAGAAGAAGGATGTGGACCTGGGGAGGCTCCGGCAGGCCGTGGAGGCTAGAGACACGGACATCCGCCACCTGGCCGACAGGATGGAGAGCGTGCACAAGCTGCTCAAGGGGGTCTCGGCGTTGCAGTAGAATAGCATGCTTCTACTTCGTAATTTTTTATAGTGTCGCGTTTTTTTTTTTTTTTTCGAGGTCCGGCCACATGTTGGCGCGCGGCGAAGAAGAAAAACAAAAAAAAGGTGTCGTCCTGGATTCGGTCTTGTCTACTGATTTTTCCCGTTAGATTTTATGTGCATGATATTCGACGTTCTTGCCCACGGGTTTGGGTTGGTTTGATAGTTTTTTTTTTTTTTTTTGTGAGAGGTCGATTGCTGTTGGGGTGTATGTTCCAACACCCATGAGCAACGCGCATCATTTTTGTACTCTGTCGGACGATCACCCGGGTTCCCCTGTTTCGTGGAGCATGGAGCTCAGGAGGGGGGGGGAGGAGTCTGCACCTGTGTGTCGTGCGTTTTTGGGGATAGGGGGACCCCGGCCCGGCCGGCTAGAGCCATCTTTGTTACTTGAACCAGCGCCGTCTCTTGCCTCCCGTGTTGCCTCGGCCCTTTCGGGCGGAGGCGTTTCTTATATATTGCCAAGAGGGGGCTCCGTGCCGACCGCTCCCTGTTTTCTTAAGTGGGTTGTAGTAGGTCCTCGGCGAAAGACTCATCTCGGGAAGGTGGAGGGCGGGGGGGAGGGCAGTTTTGTGGTATGTATCGTCTTGGGTGTGAAATCTCGGGTTTAGTGGATTCATTAGGTGTAGTTGCAAGCTTTTCGTTTCTTGCCCCTGTCGCATTTTGCGGCGGGGGGGGAGGGAGTAGTGACGAGGGATAGGGTGAGGCTTTCCTTGGACACAAGCTGGACGACGTCGGTCGTTCTGCTCTCTCTCTCTTTTTGTTTTTACTCATCACTTAACGATGTTGCTGCTGCTGTGTCCCTTCCTTTTCCCTTCGGGAAGGAACCAAATGTTTTTTACTCGTCTCTTTCTGTTTTTGCCTTGTGGAAGAGAGGAGGCGGGGGTAAAGCTATCAAGTACATGTCGAAAGCAGGGTAAATGTAAGGTTTTTATATACTTCGTTTCGTGGGTGGCGTTTTGGCAGGGGGATAGGGGACTGAACCCCCCCCCCCCTCTCCGGCGGCCTTCCCGTTCGTTCGCAAAGGTTTTGCAAAGGCCCTCTTCTTGGCAATTTTTCAGTGACCACCGCAGTACTGCTGTCCAATTACCCCTTCACGATTGAGCTGCTGTGTTTCGCCGGGGGGGGGTTCTTGGTGCACCCACTCGATTGTGTCAACTCTGCAGGGCAGTTGCCCCAACGCCCGTATTTTTTTTTTGTTATTGCGCTGATTCAGCATACTCTGTACGCCCTCTGCTCGTGCGGGTGTGCGGTAGAGGGGTGACGCAGTAGAGGGTGTGGCCGAGGCAGGCGGGGTGGGGGGGTGGGGAGTGGAAGCCGGCACTACGACTGATCGAAGTGGGCTCGGCTGAATGAAGAGTGAGGCAAGGATACGATCAATCACGGAGAGTGGCTTTCCTAACCGACATTCAAGAGTTCGTGTTTCATGTTTTGGGGTGACCGATGACATTACGGTGGGTGAAAACGCGGGGGATACGGTCGACAAAATTGACTTGGAAATGATGATTTTTTTGTGTGTGTGTTTTTTTTGTGTACCGCGCGTGGTGGTGTGTGGTGGTTTGATCGGGAGTTGTGCTCCCAAGTCATCCCGAGCGTGTTTCCGTAGTGAGGTTTAGCTCTTGCAGGTGGTTTTGGGAAGCGTTGTTTCCTTCCCCCCCCCGAAAAGCGGGGGGGGGGGGGAGGAGGATCTCTTTTTTGGTCGCCGGTTCTGTCGCGACGTCAGTCACTCAAGCGAAAAAAAGTCGGTCGAAGACGGCACCGCGCCAACGGCTTTGTGTTCGTGCATGGAGATAAGGTGTGTGATCGTCGGCTTTGAAATCACGTGTCTCGTGGCGTCATCAGCGGCGGTGGTGTCATGACCTGCGGCGGCGCGCTTGTGTGAGTGTGTGTGTTTTTTTTGTCGGTGCTATGTATCCCCTGCTGTGGCTGCTGCTTCCTCTTGGACGGATGGATGCTGCTGGATTTTCCCCCCGCGCGCGCCACGCGCTACCGCCGTCGCTACACACGGCCATCGGGTGGGGGGAAAATACGCGGTTGTTTGGAAGGGACGACAGGAGTGGCGGACGGTGTTCTGTGATTTCCTCGGGTTGGTTTGGTTGGAGAGCGACCTGTTGTCGCAGGTGTTTGTGGCAGTGGCAGTGGTGGAAAGGGGTGTGCACGATTCTTAGTATGTAAAACTTTCGCGAGAAAATGAGGTGCTCGTCGTCTTTTTTTAACCACATCTGTCTCTTTCGCGTATGTATTCTCTCGTCTCTTTTTCATCGAAATGTTTTTAAATGTGCTGGCTCTGTGCTGTGACTGATGTCTATTTTTGGGTGTTTTATAGTCTGCTGTTTTCTGCCGCGGCCCTGTCGTGCCCTTCGCGTTTCGTCCTTGCTTCTAGTGTATATTGTCTGTTTTTGTGTTTGTTTGGTGCGCTTGGTCCAAGCTTGAGAAAAAAGAAAATCATCGCTCATTCCGGAGTCGAAAAAAAAATAATATTGTGTGGCGCGATTTTCCATGTTCTTTGAGTTCTGCTCCCGCCGGCCGGGGCTGCTGCTGCTGCTCTTG